TATAATTAAAAGATAAAACTTATTATAATATATTACATATTTATATAATTAATTTAAAAAAAAATTTTTTTTTAAAAATATTAATTATTTATAAAAGTAAATCAGAAAAGAATTTAAAGTAAATAAGCAGGCAAATTTGCTTGCTAAACCCTAATATCTAAGGGATAAAGTCAAGATTGAAAAAAAAATTAATTATTGAAGTATTATTTTGAAGTTTTGTGGTTTTTCTTTTCATTAATAAACCAGTTAGCAAACTTAATATATATTAAATATTGATCAAGATATTACTTAGCTATTTGTAACTTATAATCTCAGCGTGATCAAAGTGGTAATTAATATTGGTTATAGTAAAATCCTAACAATCTATCATACAAATCTTTGGTTATTTTTTATATTGAAAGGCTTGTTCTTATCACTAGTGTTATAACCATTATGTAATTTTTAAGTTAAATAAAGTAAATTATAAGGATATAGTTTTTTTAAAAACCTTATATTATTAGAAAACTGACCAAATGCTTCTTACTCAAAATGATTAATTATAATTTGAATAATGTAAAGATCACAACCAATTTATATTGAATTTCTATTTACTTTTTTATTAATAAGTATAATAGCTTCTTTTTTATCACCTGACATATATGATGTATTATCAGTTATTCATAAAACACATTTTTTAACATTTAGACCACTTTTTTGAATATGCATAATTGTGATATCAGATACAGTTTCAGCATTACATTTTATAATATTGTCTTGTTAAGTAACTATTACAACAGATAATTCATTTTTCTCACTTCAGAATTGATAGCAAATTACTAAATTTTTTATTTGCTCTTGTGTTGATTCATCAACTATTACTCCAAATATAGGTGCATATTTTGCTTGATGAATTTGTCTATTAAAATGTAATTCAGAGATATCCTGATGCCATATTTGTAGAGTAGATTTTTTCAACCAATCTTGAGGTTCTCCTACTAAAAATTCATAAATTAATCGCATACATTCAACAGCAGAACAAAATGATATTTGTAGCAAGCCAAATTGTAATTGAAAAATAAGATTTTTTATTATATTTAAAAATTAATTTAGCTTTTTTGTGAAATTTTTCATTAGTAGTTTGCTTTGAGCATCAAACTAAAGAATGGATTTCAGCTATTTGTTTTGACTTCTGATCTCGAAGATGTTGGGTTTGTGCTCCAAAAGATTGAGTTTGCCTAATAAGTACCTGGTTTTTTCGATAATACTTTTTATTTGTTTTTTCCAACTGTGAATTTGAATCTTGCAAAGATTGATAATTTTGATGCTTATAAAGAGTTTGGTCAAGATATTCATTTGCTTTTTTTTGTAAATATGATGAATAAATTTTGCCTTTATTAGGTCCTCTAGAATAATGCATTGTTGAAATGAGATTAATAGTATATGAGAATTCTGCATCAAATAATTGCTCAACCATACGAATTAAATTCACTCTTTAATAATTGGTATTATTTTAATTGTGTTAAAAATAGCTTGAAGTTGAGTATTATCCATTTTAACCAGACAATTAGTTATTTTTCATTTATTATATTGTTCCGTAAATCATCCTTTCGTTTTTCTAGCCGAATTTGATTACATATCTTTAGTTGAAACTGGCGTTTGTATGATTTATATACTCACATTATTTTCGTTAAATTAGATGTGTAGCTTTAAATATTTAGTGATATAAAAAAAATTATGTAAAGAACATTAATACAATCGCATAAACAAAATTACGAAGCCATTTGTTGTATTCAATATACCTAATAATTAGTTTAAAAATCAATCTTTTAATGTATAGATGAGATTTTAACCTAGAAAATTTTATTAGTTAATGTAAATCATTGCTTCGTAACTTTATAGTCGTAGTTCACGAGAGCAAAATAATAAACAATATTTGAGAAAGAAGTTGTCATTTAATCTGGGCATCTAAAAAAGTTTAAAGTATTCTTTTATAGTAATTTATAGTAAATTTATACGAGTTACAGTATATGTTCACTATCGAATTTTTGCATAATACCACATAGTTTTGATTTACATAGTATATCGAACACTCATCGACGCAATTAAATACTACAGAGAAAACACATCATATGACTGTGGGGGCCCTGCCAAAATCTTATATTGGAGGGCAGTAATTTGGCGCAGTATATCAAGCGATGTTTGACGCAGAATCGTAATTGAGTTAAAAAATTGAAATATCTTAACACATTAGGCAACGAATTTCTTAAATACGAGGCGGAGTGAATTGTTATAAAAATAAGTCGTAACGGTAAGAGTGATAATATTGTATTGCCTTCTTTTTACCTCAATTGCTAATCCCCGATTTATATTTTAGTTTCGAAATTACTTAATCTCAGTGAATTCCTCTTTAGGGGAATATTATTTTACATAGTCTGTGTGGATGATAGTGATATAGATAGACAAAAATTTCATAGATATGGAGATAATTTATTTCGTGTAGTAAAAGAGTATAGGATGTGAATCTTTTAGTTAGTGATAGAAACAAATTAGTTGTAGATATTTTTCAAAAATGTGAGAGAACAAAGAAATAACTTGATGCTGAGAGGGACTCGCATTAAACGCCCTAGGATCCACGTACTCCCTCCCTCTTTGATAGCATCATATCATTAATTCATTCAATTCATTCTAAAATTATTAATAAAGTTTCTCAGTTGCATCAAAAAAAAATCATATGTACAGCGTGTATAATCAAAATATCTCACAATGACTCGAATTTTTTAATGATATTAGATATTATTATTAGATCAAAAAATAAATTATTTTATCAACAGATGAACCGAGGATCTCATACTTCGGAGTTTCGATCACAAAACGCGTTCTCAATTAATAATCATAAGCTTAGAATGTGTTTACATAATTAATGAAGTTTATTCCGAACCATATATATATAGTCAATCATTATTGAAACTATCTACCTAGAGTAAAATTTTTTTTTTACTTTTAATAATAACAGATAATGGATAACGAGTGGAAGAACGCAAAGTTGAAATTAGAAAAACTTTTCGCTGACGACGAGATGCGTGGTACAATTAAAGGTCAACTTCTAAGGATTGATATGAAGAACCGACTTGAATATTTCGAAGGAAGTGATAAAGAAGTTAAGGCTTCTCTTAGTACACTTCTTTTAGGTAAAGTTAAAACTTTTTTTTGGTCTTTGAGGCGAGTCATAACAGATAAATATTTGCCTACTATTTTTATGATAATCTAACATTCTAACCCAATTTAGGTGAACATCCAAGTAAGCCTTTGCGTCGTAATGATTGGTTATGATATTGTCTTGTCCGGTAACTAACTTTGCTTCTTTTGGTCTCCTAACCCAATTTAGATGAACATCAAGGTAAGCCTCTGCATCGTAATTATTGGTCAACTCGACTAA